CCCCAAAACCCCAAAACCCCAAAACCCCTGAAAAAGATACAAAGATTGAAATAGTAGAGATTGATCAAAATTAAGTTCAAGCCAGAATTTACACATTCTTCCTCAGTCTCTTCCTTCCTTTAGCAACCTTGGGCTGCGCAGACTTTGGAGGCTTGGTGGGCGTTTTGGGGAGAATAGGAGCATGGCCAGCTCTAGATCTCCGCTTTTGCTTTAGGTCTTCCAAAGCACTTTTTGGAACACTATCTTCGGAAATAATTAGGCTATTCAGATCAGATGTGTGGATATCAAAACTTTCCTCAGGGGTGTTTTGAGCAGGAGGAAAAATTTTCTTAGTAGGCTTCTTTTTATTCGTGCTGATTTGAGCCCGAGTTTGCATCTCAAAATCTTCTTCTTTAGGTTTGACATTCTTCTTCTTTTTGATCTTTTTCTGTTTTAAATTAATAATTCTAGGGCTTTTATAATGGTAATGATCAGGAATATCAATATCATCATCATCAAGCTTTTCGTCTTCGTCCATGTGTACTAAGGCATTATTAGTAACACCAAAGACCGTTTCTAACTTCTTTAAAAAGTTCAGATGTTTCTTCAACTTCTTTGATTGATTCTTGTTAGTCACCTTTCCTGTCTTCTTCTCAGATTCTTTTAAAATTTCCAAAGTTTTTCAGTTCTCATCTTCCTTGTCTAAGTTAAACAGTTCGAAGAGATCTTCATTACTAAAGTACTTCTCAATATTTTTGCTTTCCTTACTCTCAACAGTAGCTTTATTAATTCCTTGCTTGTGAATTTGCCGACGATAAATTCGCTCTTCAATGCCATGAATAGTGATTAATCTGTAGACAATTATATCCTTCTTTTGACCAATTCTGTATATTCTATCAACAGCTTGGTTATCATTTGCTGGATTCCAGTCAGGATCAAAAATAATGACTCTATCTGCTCCGACAAGGTTAAGACCTCATCCTCCAACCTTAGTTGTAAGGAAACACATAAATATCTCGGAGTTTTTATTAAATTCTTTTTGGATCTTGTCTCTTTCCTCGATATCAGTGTCGCCATCAATTCTCCTGTATTGAAATTTTCCAGCTGCTTTAGTGATCTTCTCTATGATATTCAACATAACCTTGCTCATAGAGTAGATAAGCACTCTATGCCCTTCCTTGTGAAGGTTCTCTAAAAGCATGAATAAAAACACAAGTTTGGAAGAATCCGCCAGGATTCCATCAACATCATTCCCATTGTAGTGGGCCACTGCATCATTGAGGATATCTTTGAGGTCAAGAAGTTCCATCATCTTGGTCTGCTTCTCAATGTCTTTGTCCTTCTTAGGCTTGACCTTCTTTGTGGGTATTGGGCCTGTATCTTCTTCTGCAAAATCAGCAAGGTTTTTCTCTTCTTCACCAAAGAAGTCATCATCCTTCTCGCTTTTGTTCATGGCTCCTTTTCTAAGCAACAGCGGATGTTGTCAAAGCTTTTTGATAACTGAAAGCAAACAAAATGCGTTTCTGGAAGCTCCTGCAGCGATAACACTCTGAACATGCTTTTGTGAAATAATATACTGATACAGTTTCTTTTGGGATTCAGAAAGTTTCACCCAAATCACCAAATCTGTCTTTAATGGCAACTCATTATCCTTCAATGCTTCCCCTGTCAAATCGACACTTCTCATTGTGAAAATTTGCTTCTTGGTCCTTCTAAGGAAATGAGGCTTGTATTGAGCTCTAAGTTTCTCACTTAGCTTCTTGCTCTTGGTCTTTTTAACAGTAGTTGAATCTTTGGTTAATCCTTCTTCGATAGGAGTAGCATATTCCTTTGTGAACTTTTGAAAAGAATCAAAAATCCCTGGCTGAACTCAATCAAAAACACTCCAAAGCTCTTGTAAATTATTCTGGAGAGGGGTTCCTGTCAACAAAAGTCTATGCTTTTTAAACGTTGACCCTCATCATATTTTTCCTCAGCTCTGTATTGACATTCTTTGCTTTGTGGCCTTCATCCATGATCAGTATGTCATATCGAATATCGGTTAATAAAAATCGCTCAGTTGTGACTAAGCCAAAACTGGTTATTAAAATACCTCCTTTCTTTTTAAGTCTTGTTATTGATTTCTCTCTTTCAACCTTCTTCTGGCTATCAAGAATCATTACATTGAGACCCTTGCTCCACTTCTTGATCTCTTCCTTCCAGTAAATTTTGAGAGTTGATGGAACAACTATGATCACTTTCTTGATCTGGTTCGAATCAAATAAACCTTTGAGGTAAACTGCAGTCTGACATGTTTTTCCAAGACCCATATCATCAGCTAGTACACCTCCTTTTTCATTTAGAAAGAGTCTATAGAGCCATGCAATTCCAGTCTTTTGATGTGCATATCTAAAGGGTAATATTTAAAGGACTTACAAACTTTCAAAGATGTCTCTATGGATTCTAAACCTTCTTTCAAGATAATAGTTATCTTCATCTTTTCAATGTCGGTACATGTTTCGACCTTCTTTTCCATCATTCTTGGCTATTTCCATATTTTCAAATCGTTCTTGTGAGTCCTGGCTCCAATCAGATCAGTTATCAGAGCCTTCGCTTTTTGAGAAATATTCTTGCTCACTCTCTTCGTAGGTACCTTCTTCAAGGATGCCAGCAGTCTCGTCATCACAAATGAAGTCGCTTTCGTAACGGTCATCTGCTGAATCTTCAAGCTCATCATTCGAGCCTCCTTCAGATTCTGCTTCGAGATCTCTAAAGTCCTTGATTGTTCTCTTCTTCTTCCTGCCCCCTCCTTTCTTCTTAGGAGGGGCCTTCCTCTTTCTAGATGCTGGGGGTTTACGCTTAGGAGCGGTTCTAAAACTGAGCCAAATTGTGACTTACTTCTTTCGGCATTTTGATTTAAATTTGCCGCGCCCACGACCAGTGTTCTTCTTGGCATAATTAGTATCAAAATTAGGCCTTGCTCCAAGACCTTCTTCAAGTTCGCTATTGGACTCTACTGAGCCTAAAAGCTCATGCACACTTTTGTTCTTTATTTTCCTGCTCTTTGGCACCTTTTTCTTTGCAATCTTTATATCGGCTATTGCATAGTCTTCATCGGATTCCTGTATCATCGAAGAGAATGGTTTTCCTAGTTGTCTCTGCCTCTCTTGTATCAGGTGTGTTAAGTTCTTAATCTTATAATTTTGTCCTTTCTTGGACGGGAACTTGAATGGAGATCACCTCTGGCCTGCTGATATGCCTTTTATCAGTCTTTTGTTCTCCCTCTTTTTCATTATTAATCGAATTAAATTGCTAATTTAGAGTGAATTAGGACGTAATTTATTAAGCTGTGTGTAAATTCAACTTTATTTATTATGTTTGGGGTTTTGGGGTTTTGGGGTTTTGGGG